ACTCCATTGGTTTTGTGAAAGAAATGCCAAATTTGTCAACACCGTCAGATGTCACCACCATAAGATTTTGTGTTCCAATGATATATCAAAATACTTAAATGTGACTCTTGAATAAAAGCTTTATAAACAATAACATACTCACTGTTTGTATGTTAATAGCTCAGTAGCTTAGTACATATAAGATACATAAATGTAGTTTCATTTGTCTGAGTACAAGGTTTTATTTTTTCAATTTTGCACCCTGTTTTGTCCCACTTCTCAAGAATGACTGATTTACATCTGCAAGATGTATTTTTATTTGCTCATCTGCAATACGTCTATAGGACGTTTCCTATCAGATGTCAAATAGACGTTTAGAAGATGTCTTTAAGATGTTTATGATTTAGAATGAATGTAAAACTGACATCTTAGAGACATCTATCAGATGTTTGTACACAGCAGATGCTTTTCAGATGAAGTGATCTTTAACAGACATCTTGCAGGCATACATGTGCTGAGTTTAGTTTATTTAATGGTCATGTCTTATGTCTTATACCCTGATAGCACACATACATCACGGAGATGTCTATTTGATGTCTGCATTTACATCTCCAAGATGTATTTTTTAGACTGTTTGCTCATCTGCAATACGTCTATAGGACTTTTCTTATCAGATGTCAAATAGACGTTTAGAAGATGTCTTTACGATGTTTATCGTAATTCAAAGCATATAATGAATATGCACACATGTTCTGGTTGCAATGCCACAAAACTATTTGTTTTAATAAATATTTCCCGGTCAAAACGAAATGTAAACAACAGCATCATGAAATATCCAAAATGAGGAACTGTTGACAAATATGCTTAAAGGAGCTTAAAAATAGATTCCAGTGACAGAAGAATGGCAAACTTTTTCTTGAAAATGTAAACAACAGCATCATGAAATATCCAAAATGAGGAACTGTTGACAAATATGCTTAAAGGAGTTTAAAAATAGATTCCAGTGACAGAAGAATGGCAAACTTTTTCTTGTCTGTTGGGATATCCAGTGCTTGAAGTGGGCCGGTACGGACCGGAACGCAGAACAGGTGTTGTGCCCAGTTTCGACCCCCTGCCAAATTATTACCCCCCTCATTGAAGCCCCTACCTGATCTAATCCTAACCCCTCCCCCACACCTAATCCTAAATCTACCAATACTATAGGGGGGGGAAATAATCTGGCAGGGAGTAAGAATTGGGCACAAGAACGGTACTCGGAGTCAAGGCGTCAGTGTCTGGGTGATTAGAAATGAAACTATATAAAATCACACTACCCATGAAGGGTCACCTCTCATCTCGACAAATCACGTGAAAGAATGCAAGCGGAGTCGGTCTACTGTGTCAGTGTGTGAGGCGCGCAGAGTAGTAGAATAATAATTAATTATTGATTACTAATTTGAATCAGTACATTATAACGAAAACAATTCCTTAACAATGAAAAGAAGCAGGTTTTTGCGATCACATCATTTTAAACCGGTAAAATCCTGGAAAGTCCAAGGATCCAGTAAGCGAATTCAAACAGTAAGTTCAAAACAGTGCTAATGCAGAGAATAGTGACTTACGTCCAGATGTCAGTAAATTGTTCTTTTCAGCGTGTATTTGTCTTAAAAGCAAGAGTGTTTTATAATGGATGCTGGCTAAAGGTGTTTTAGATTATGCGGTGGTCAGAGGTTTAGTGATTCTGAATGGATCCATAAAGTAGTACAGTCAGGTCCAGGCAGGAGCTTTTGTGGTCTTTGGCGTCTCCCTGTGGTTCTGTTTGGTATCGCAGCTTGATTTGTGCTTATGTGGATTGAAAACTTTTAATTATTGATTGTGGCACTATACCTACACTGTGAATTATGAAAATAAAAAAGTACTTAATTATTTAATTTTAAATAAATAAAAAAGAGAGGGGACTGGGGATGTCATTACTGAATTTATAATAAATCATTTGTAAATGGTAAGTTATGTTTAAATATCTTAAATCTCTGATTAGCTAGAAAAAAATGTCAGGCCAGGTCAGGCTTTCTCTAGTGATATCTGAAAGGTAGGCAGACATTTCCAGATAGCACACGTATGTCTGCAAGATGTTAAAGCTCTCTTCATCTGGAAAGCATCTGCTGTGTACAAACATCTGATAGACGTCTCTAAGATGTCAGTTTTACATACATTGTAAATCATAAACATTTTAAAGACATCTTCTAAAAGTCTATTTGGCATTCGATAGGAAATGTCCTATAGATCTATTGCAGATGAGCAAACACTCTAAAAAAATACGTCTTGCAAATGTAAATGCAGACATCAAATAGACGCCTCTGTGATGTACTTGTGCTGTCAGGGATAGAACGTTCAATGCAGACTTTGGTTATTTTGGAACCAATTAAGAACGTTCTGAACGTGCCTACTGTCCTTTTTTTTTTTTTTACTAAAATCTAACTTTCCCAGAACGTTGCAGGGAAGTGTTTTGAGTCAACCTTAAAGGGGGAATCAATACAGAACGTTCCCTATTGTTTCTTTTTAGGTTTTATTTTTGTGTTTTATTTAAAAAAACGGGTTACAGCACTTTTAAATAAAGAACAGTTTGTTTGTCAAACTCAAAACAACTCGTTCGTAAAGCCCTTTTTAAATATTTAACATGCGTGAGTCCTAAAGTAGCTGCGTTTGTCGACGACAAACGCCCCCTCAGCCTCATTGGCTGGAGTCGCGGTCGCGCACTGGAAACTCGGTTACTGATTGGCTTCTACGTCTGTCAGTCAAGCTTACACAAGGTTGGTTGTGATGCAGTGAAGGTTGATGTGCGCCGTCAAAAGTCGGCGATCTTGTGAGTCTGTACATCCGTCACCGAACGGGATAATGAAATAGCGGAAAGGTAAGGCGTTTAGCGAAGGATACAATGTAATATGATTAAGGGATGTTAGATTTCAGTGAGAATTAAAACGTAATTGTGGTATTTGGTTTAAAACGAGTGCTAACTGTTGGTGACTTATCAAGTTGAATGACAGTTAAACTGGTTTGTGGCAGGCAGAGTTTTGAGAAACAAGTTGTGGTTTTTGCCAGTTGAATAGTGATAATGAAAAGCCAACGAATACGGCGAGCTGTGAAATGCTAACAGCTTAGGTGACATTTCGGTTGCGAGCGAGATGAGTGCAAACGACTAAAAACCCACCTCATTATCAAACCAGCCAATCATTGAACGCTTACAGTCAATGCAGACGTTCCTGCGCATGGCTGTGGCTGCAGTTTTGGTCAGCACTCATTTGCATTAGCCACCCGACAGCAGCAACAGTTTGATCATGTGGCTTTTTCTTCAGACTCCGCTCCTCCCTGCTTACTTCAATCCCAGATACTGATGAGCGTCCAGACTTGATCCTGGAGGGCCGCTGTCCTGCAGAGTGTAGCTCCATCCCTGGTTAAACACACCTGAACCAGCTCA